GCCCCCATTCTCGGAATGGCGGACGAAGGGCGACCAGCAGCTTGCTCAACTTCGACAAGACCATGCCCATACAAGGTTGTGCCACGCCACGTGGATTGCCGCCGTGACGGCCAAGTTGAAGGACGAAGAAGTTCTAACCAAACGCCGCTTTCAGCCCCAGACCGAGCAGCCAAATCGCCCCGACAGGCCACCTCGAGGACGTGGCAGAGGCAGAGGCGCCGGAGATGCGCCAGAGGCCAAGCAGGGATGAATCCCCGAGCTTGGGTGGATGTGCCGGACATGTTGTACAGTCTTGCCTGCAGGTCCAGAGAAAATTTTGCACGTTTTTTGCGCAGCAGTTATCAACGGAGGAGCCTTTCGGTCATGCCCTCCGCGGAGCTTTTACCATGTCCGATCCCGTTCCCTTGGGAACATGCTCCCACCTCTGGGGGTTCCAGGCGCCGCTGTAGGTTTAGAAGGCGTAGAGTTGATGGTTAATTTGCAGATCTGTTCGCTAAACTTTGTGTTTTTGGGTGGTCCCCCTAAATGTCCAACTCAGGGTTGTAGGGGTGATCCTTGTAAAGCACAACAGGATATGATTAAGAGCCTATGGAATCGCAATTGCTCGAATTGCCGCCTGGCAGAAGATCTTTCCTCCGGTTGCGGCAACAAACTTTTGGGTGTACAGTCTGAATTAGCGGCTTTTGACGTAGCCTTTGACTCCCTTAGGGATTTGGTCTATGGGGCCGCCAAGCAACGTGCAAGTTCTTCTGCCCATGGCACAAGCACTGAGGTGGTTCCGCTGGTGGCTCAGAATGTGGCGTTTCCTTCGTCACTTAAGGGCTTTGAAGCTGGTCCTTTCCTGCCTGAGCCTTTCAAATCAGCTTTCATGCACCCTCAGACCTTAATCGCCCCTAACCTGACGCCATCAGTGTTACCTCCTTCCACTATGAACCAATGTGAGTTTTGGCACTTGTGCTGGCGATGGGACTCAGTGGGTAGGTTGACCTTAGCGTTAGAGGATGAAATCATGCCGGGTTCGGTCAGTAATTTGTTCTGCCTTCAGAAACCCGATGGGGAGCCTCGGCAAATCATTGATAGACGACCCCGCAACTCCATTGAGACCCCTCCGCCAGCTGACGCCCCGAGGATGGGGCACGCAGGTGTTTTCTTGGGCCTTCAGGTTCCGAAGGATGGCTGCGTCAGAGGTTCGGTTGATGACCTTAGGAATTTTTACCATGAGTTCGAGGTTTCCAGTGAGCGGGCTCTTTCAACTCCTGTGGGTCCTCTTTGGTTTGCCCGAGACTTCTTTGGTTCTGCAGCATTAGATGAACTTAAGAAGCGCCGTCCGGACATGCGCGTGTCATGTAACACCAGGGTTTACTCCTGTTTTGCTGGGCTGTCAATGGGGGACCACTGGGCTCCTGCAATTGCGCAGGTTGCACATGAACAGCTGTTGTTAGCTTCGGGTGCCTTGGTTCCAGAGGAGCATTTGATCCTGGGGCTCCCCATTCCAAGATCGCCCAGTCAGCATTTTTCTGGAGTATGCATTGATGATAAATTAGACCCAGCCTCTATCTACAATTTATAGGCTCTCTTTAGAAGGGGTAGGGTTACCCCAAAATAACCAGTTATGGTCCCCACGATAACCAGTTATGGTCCCCACAAACAACAGTTATGGTTCCCAAAAACAACACTTATGGGTTCCCAAAAACAACACTTATGGGTCTCCAAAACAACACTTATGGGGCCCAAAAACAACACTTATGGGTCCCCAAAATAACCAGTTATGGGTCCCAAAAACAACACTTATGGGTCCCCAAAACAACACTTATGGGTTCCCAAAAACAACACTTATGGGTCCCCAAAATAACCAGTTATGGTCCCAAAAACAACACTTATGGGTCCCCGAAACAACGCTTATGGGTTCCCAAAAACAACACTTATGGGTCCCCAAAACAACACTTATGGGTTCCCAAAAACAACACTTATGGGTCCCCAAAATAACCAGTTATGGTCCAAAAAAAACACCTATGGGTCCCCAAAATAAGACGTATGGGTTCCCAAAAACAACACATATGGGTCCCCAAAACAACACTTATGGGCCTTATGGGTTCCTCATTAACGTAGTAGTCATGAGACATACGTGATTGTCCTGGAGAACACCACTGGCTAAGTATGGGATCCATAATTTGCGTACTTCCGAGACTTTGACCATCGCTTTGTTTGGGGTGAGCCCGTAAATGGTTATCTTGGGGACTTATACTATATTATAACTGGTTACTTTTGGGGGCCCACAAGTGTTGCTTTCCTAAATTCCAAACCCGAACATAAGCCTAGAGAAAAACCCCAGACTTAACTAAACTTCACCCAGCTGATCAGGCCTTCAGCTTGGCAGCAAATCCGTGACGGCAATCATACAGTTGCATCCTTTATTTCTAGCAATGCTACCTGGAGCTGTTACTTTTAGCGGCTATTCAGCGGTGTGATACAGGCTAGGGAAAGGCTAGTCATCCGAGCTGATGAGACAAATCTAAACCATGTTGCAAAGGCTACGAAGCGGTGCTTCCCCAAAGCCTTTGTGGCTCAGGAATCTAGCGCCTAGCAACTGAGACAGGGTCAGTCATGGACTTGCTGGCTGATTTCTCGGACGATGATGGGCCCATGCAAGATCGCAGGGGCGATCTGATGGACCTGCGTGAGGAATCAAAAGCGCTGTCTACAGAGCTAGATGCTGTTGCTGAGGGCCACGTTGGCCGTGAAAGTAACGATGCTCCCCAGGTAGATCTGCTTGCTGAGGAACCGGAAGCACGGTCTGCAGAGCTGCAGCTAGATGCTGTAGATGAGGGCCACTTTGGCCATGGAAGTAACGATGCTCCCCAGGTACGTCGTCTTGCTGAGGAATCAGAAGCGCTGTCTGCAGAGCTACAGCTAGATGCTGTAGTTGAGGGCCACGTTAGCCATCAAAGTAACGATGCTCCCCATATAGATCTTCTTGCTGATTTGTCTGACGAGGGCACTGACATTATCGACGATCCACATGCTACAGCCTTGGTTGCACTTCCGCGTAATGCTCCTAATGCAGATGCGCATGCTGGAGAAACATCTTCGCAAACGCTCGTGCACTGTGCGGATACTGGGTTGCCTACGCGCAGCAAGGCCTACAACATGCAGGGCAAAGTTGGCCGTGGTCGTCATGGAGGTCTCTTAGAGCGCCAGCTCGTGTGCTCGCATATGCGGGCAGAGAAGCGCGCCAAAAAGATGCAAGATGACACGCACGCTTTGGTGGAGGCATTAAACGACTGTGCGTTTGTGAAGAACGGACAAAGCTTCACAGTCGCAGCCACGCACAGAGGTGGCGGCCCGCAGATAGTGATTTCCAAGGCAAGCTCCAAAGGCAACCGGTTCGTGCGGAAGATCCATTTTTCCAAATTCATCCGGGCTGCCTTTGGGTTGAACAGCAGCAACGTGGCGATTGCAGCTCTTCTCAACGTTGATGCATCTACAGTTCCGAGACTTCAGAAGACGTGCGCGGGCGTGTTTATGATGTCTCAGGCGAAGCTGTTGGCGAGACTGTTATCGCACTGCCAGAGAGTCCATCCCGTGTCTGTTCACAAGCAGCTCAAGTGGGATGAGACTACTGTTGCTACAACTTTGAACCCTGGCGGGCGAACTCACAGTGTTCGCTCTGCGTGGTCTGTTTTAGTGTGCTGAGTGCGTTTGCTGGTCACTTGGCCTTCAGGGGCGGTCTGGATGATGCGAATTGTGATGCCACCAATCCCTTTACTTGCATCGTCAGCAGATCAGGTATACTATGGCCTGAAATATCATCCGAGCTACTTTGCCTTATCTCGCATGATGACTGCCATAGGTGACACCGCTGAAGTACGGGGAGCCTTGCACGAAGTTGACGGCGCATACGCCAATATCAGATTGCACCACCACTTCTTGTCCCAACCTGCCTATGATCCGACAAGACCGTCTGGATGGTTCCTGGAGTCTGCAAGGTGCCAATCTCACGCAACGCACCTGATCTCCGTGTCCATGCTTGCTTTGCTGGGCGGAAGCCTGTTGAGCAGGTTCTACGCTCTCGCGGTGTTCTTGAAAAATTTGGGGTACCTCCTTCGATTACAGTTGGCTCTCAAGCAGTGGCTGGAAGAGTTTGGGCGCGGAATTGCAGTATTAGTATTTTTTTGTAGTGATTCAGTGACTCGGAGATTCCGGGTGTGTATAGGCATAGGCATAGGCGTATAGGGATTTTACAGGGTTTAGGGATTCTATAGGGAGTCCATAGGGGTTATATGATATGATATGTATGTATTCAAATAGGGATTGTATAGGGCCTGTATAGTGGTTATTTAGGGGTTATACGGGAGTTATGTGACAGTTATGGGTAGCGGGTTCGTCAGCCTCATATGGCTTGTAATTTCCCTTGGGTTTGGGTTTTCTCCATTGCGTTCCCTTTTCTTGCGCCGGGGACAGATACGTGGTCTGTTAGCTTGTCAGGTCTTTTGTTCTGTGGTGAAAAGATAGATAAATGGTTGAAGTTCTCTTTGTAGGTTGTTCAGAAGTTCTTAGGGACGGATATGTGGTCTGGTAGCTTGTCAGTTCTTGTGTTCCGTGGTGAAAAGATAGATTGATGGTTGAACTTATCTTTGTAGATGGCTCAGAGGTTCCTAGGTTCATAGCCCACATTTTCAAACCAGCAGCTACCCAATACGACAAACATTGTGCAAGTCCGCTGGTTATAATTTTACTCTTAAATTATAGTCTTATAGTTGTATAAGTCGTATAGTCTCAGTCCAATTTGGTATAGGAAGTATGGGCCCAAAGACACCCTTCAGGTGCCCTAAGCCCTTAGCCTACAATTCTCATAAATGCTGGTTTTTTTTTCACCTGCAGTAGTATTGGCACTGCTACCATTTCTTCCATTCACCCATAGTCTGTTTGTTTCAGGAAAAGTTGGTGGTGGTGCCGTGGGACGGTGCGCCAGCAGATCCTCTTGTTCATGAAACACTGGATTTCATCGAGATGTGGCATCCGGGCAGCGGTGCTCAGGAAGATGGGGATGATGATGGGGAGGCGCCAAGGTCATCCACTCGCTTCCAGCAGCACTTAGAAGCTTTCAAGGACATGTGGAACTGCAGTTACGCCGGCTGTCCTAAACACAAGTGTGCCCCTGGTCATTGCCGCTCACGCATCGATACTGTGACCAAGATGGCCAGCAGTTTCATCACATTATTGCTTGCGTCGCTGCCGGCAATTCCTACACCCAACAAGTGGACTAAGCTGTTTGGGGTTAGCGATTTCATTGCGCTCGGCAGCCTGGTCAACAATTTTCTCCCGTGCATATTCGACGTTGCATTTGCTCCGCTCATGCTTGCCAAAGGTACGGAGCAGGAAATTGTTGAAGCCGACCCCAGATTGGTTGAGGGCCTCTTCTTCCATGCTGTCCAGGGAAAGAGGTATGTGGCATCCAAGACATTCTTGCAATGTGCTCAAAGCCAATGGCGATGTAGATCCTGGATTGTGGTGTCAGAACATCTGCGCCGCCTCGTCTTCCACTGGCTACGCCTGCTGACGTCAACCAAGAAAGCGCGAGATCGGTTCCCAATCTCGGAGGTCCTGGACTTTCGATGCAGTGTCGTTTGGGCGGTCCTACAGGGTATAGCCCATCAATTGCTTGATCCTCAGGGGAGAGGCCGTATTTGCTTCCTTTGGGCTCCAGCAGGCTTTGACTCATACCAAGCATGGTGCAAGGCGTGTTTGCCGGAAGTGGGGGATTTGCGGAATGCACTTCTGAACCTTTCTGGTTGGATCTTTCGGCGTCATATTGTGTACTGGAAGACCTTCCCCTGGACACTTATTCAGCTTGTGGATGCTTCCACCACGCAAGCTGTTGTGCAGGAAATCAAGAGCGCGTGGGACTCTGCGCAAATATGCTGCGTGGCTCCAGGCATGGCGCGGAGCTTGAAGAAATTGGGTGTCTCCAGCGATGATCTGCTTTCAGAGTTGAAGTACAGAGCTTTGCTGGAAGGCTTCGGACGCCTCATGCAAATGACTATTGCAGATGTTGAGTGCAAGCATGCACTCTCCAGGCACTGGTCGGAGCGACCGTTCCCGACTATTATTGCCAAACACGTGAACAAGGAGGCGTCTCTGTGCGTGCTGGAAGCCAGGAAACAGGTGGGTTTGGGTAATAACTAATAACTCCCTTCTAAGAATTCATACAAGAGAGGTCCTATTTGTTGCTTCCCATGCAAAACGTTCAGTATACAAATAAGTAAACGGATGAGAATTTTAAGTCCAGTAGTATTAGATACAGTACTGGTAGGCCAGCCCTCTAAAACGATAACGATAACCAGTCAAAAATTAATGATGAGGTTTCAAATAGGATAGGAAGGGTGTTTTCCGCACGAGCCCAGGTGCAGTCTTTGTTTACAGGCACATCGGCGCCCGGGCGGGACTCATTGCAAGCTGGCGATTCGCTTTGCGGTGGCATGATTAAGGTCAAGGCCAAGCAAATCCGGGGCAAGAGTGCCAAATGCTTGTTCAAGGCAGAGTACTTGCAAGCGCGGAACACACTGACGCCCGATTCAAAGGTGAGCCCCCTCAACCCAGAATTCTTTGCGCAAGCAGAGGAAGCATGGCGTTCACTGTCAGAAGAAAGACGACAGTACTTCCAGGAACTGTCGGATCAGTCGTGCGCGGAAGCGAAGCAGCGGCGCCAGGCAGCGAAGCCAAACAGCAAAGCTCCAGCACCGCAGCCGGCAGCTTCTTCTGCCCCTGGCGCCAGAGCTTTGCGGGCTGTCGAGCAGCAGCAAGATTCCTTGCCGCCATTTGATATCCCTGGAGCAGATTTGTCGCCTGAGATGGGTTATTTCATTTGTTTATTTTCTGGTCCATTTTGTTTGAATATCATAAGCCCTAAACCCTAAGCCTAGATTCAATGCTGCTACCTTTTACCGGGCTGAGATTGCCAAGGGTTAATTAACTCCCTGAACCCGTTTGCACTTTGAACAGGTCTTTGCTCGTGACCTCCGGCCACTACGATCCCTGGGTCCTTGCCGCTGACGCTGCCGGCCAGCCGGATGCACTGCGCCTTGGGCAGGCAGTGGCCAAGTACTGCCAAGAACTGCAGCATTGCAAGCCTCAGCTTGCAGACCAGTGCCTCAGCAACAGTCCTGTGTCGGAATCACAGTTGGAACAGTCTTGGAAGGACAACTTGCAGCACGGCGTCACATGGGCGCAGGCTCTGTCGCACTTCAACGTAGAGTCGCAGCGCTTCAGCTCACCACCACAGGAAGATGCTTTTCCAGAACGTGTCCAATACCACGGATGCTGCGGGAGCTTTTGCAGGAGCAAGTCTTCCCCGCGGGATCTTGCGTTCTTTCAAGCAGCCCTTACAGCCTTTGACATGGCTGTCTCACAATGTGGTGATGGGAGCGCAGCATCTGCCAGCAAGTGTGAAATTCTTCTTCGCCACCGTGTGACCAACGGCCCTGAGGCTGGTCTGGATGTCGACGTGGTCTACACATGGGTCACAGCTCTGTCAGCCCGCAGCGGTGTCCACAACTCCTCGCAGGTGTTCATACCACTGAGCCAGATTGGCCCTTCGATTTCTGGAGGCGAGCAGATGCTCCGGCTGCGAGTTCGACAGCGCTTCCCTCAGAAGTCACTTGGTGTTCAAAACTGCTGCCAACGGGTCCTCTCGAGATGTTGACTGAGCAAGACATGGCCAAGGATTTGTTAGACAGACTTCCAGACGCTGAAACCAGCACTGTTTACCTGGAGCGCATGGCATTCCAAAATGTAGACCTTGCCACAGTGAAGGTCCAGGGCGTGTGGCCGGGATGGAAGGAGATTCGGGTGCAGGCAGCTGCGTCGACATCCGAAGCAGGGGCACAGGCGCAAGAGCAGGAAGTTGCAGAGGATGTGCCAGTCGTGGCGCCACTTGGGCCGCCTTCTGCGTTTGATGTGCTGTCTGCAGTAGTAGATGGGCCGAGCAGCGCTAGTTCTCGTGGCCGCGGGCGAGGCAGAGGGCGTGGTAGGGCTGGGGACACAAACGCCAAAATGCGGAAGGTGCTGGTAGCCAGTCTTCCCGTTGAAGCTTCGGAGAATCAAGCTTTGGAGAAGGAGCTGTCTGATCTCCTGGCATCCGAAGATGTTCTACTTCCTGAGCCAGAGCAGCCAGCAGCTTTTGATGCTGCGGTGCAAGACACAGTGGTGGCGGCATCCGTCGACGGCGACTTCATTTCAGGATTTGTGGGCGCATTGGAGACGTGTGAGCAAGCTCACGCAAGCCTGGCCGCCGACTTCCCAGAGTCCGGTGACGAAGCCATTGAAGGCGATGAGGCAGTTGAACAAACTGGTGAGGATGATCTGCCCGCTACGCAGCCGCTGGAAGGAATCGACGGCGCTGGTGGTGAGGAGGACATTGCCATTGACATGGAGGCAATGACAATTTCAGTTTCAACTTCATTGTAATTCGAATCACCGAATTACCCACCTATGGATAAATCATGGGGTTGGTTTCGCGCTGTAGAATTCCCACCCCCCCTTAAAACCCTACGCCCTGAAGGCCCCGAACCCTAACCTGCCACCCATGAACGATACTTTGAATCATCCAAAAATGCTTCAGGCAGCCCGTGATGAGCCGAGTGCTGGAATGGGCAGTCAGCAGGCAGAGTTTTTTTGGAATTTAATGGTGAAAGTTGTGTGCCTCTACGAGGAGGGCTTAATGGTTTAGAATTTGCGGGCAATGATACGCGGGTTTCGGATTTCCATTGACACTTCAGCGTTTTGGGGGTTTGGGTTTGGGGTTTGGGTTTGGGCTTTTACACAGAGAGCTGGGTTGAATGCTTCAGGGTTTGGGTGGCCTTGGGTTTCAGGAGGGTTGTGCTTATAGATTAGGATTCCTATCACCCTCACATATGACTCATATGACTATACGACTATACAGTATACAATATTTACATACTGATGTATACTTACTGTCCCCCCTGTCACGTACAAGCCTGGGTATGTTATATCAGTTATATCATATATCTATAGTAGTCTATATCGTCTATAGTCTATATATAATATCATATTATGATATAATACAATAATAATACGTGGCTAAGTAGCAGTTCCTGTTGGGTCCCAAGTTCGCGTCTAACGTTCTTCTGCACGGTGCACTAGTCTCAGGGCTGAGGGTGAATTGAGTGGTTTCAGGCTTGGGGTCTCGGGTCCTTTGCCGCGCAAGGTAGGCGGGGTTCTGGTGCTTCTCTGAACAGTAAGTGCTTTGGTGTCCTTGCGTGCCCGACATCGCAAAATCCTGCGCAAAATAGCGATCGCCAAAGGTAAGTAGCATTGCGTTGTCTACCAGACTCAAGAAACATCATTTTTTCTCCCCCGTAGCATATTGCCACATTGCTGTCCTCACACATACTGATATTAGTCTGAACATGTTGAGGTCGTGGGTCTTGCGCCGGGTACAACCCGAAACCCTTATCGTTAGAACTATAACGCCCGAAGCACCCCCCAGCATCACCAGGTGGACGTCGACTTCCCGACTGCCGTGCTGAGTTCTTCCTCTTCCAGGGACGCCGGGGGGTCTGAAGCCAAGGTCGTTCAGAGGCTCGTCGGCCATAGTGCAGAGGGTCACCCGATCCATTTGTTGGAGTGCAAGCACGGATACACCCGATATGAGGTTTGGCTAAAGCAGGGCGTTGAAACTGTTGTGCTCGGCAAAATTTCCATCCTCAGTTTTCCCTCAAAGACTGTGTACAAGGCAACGTGCCAAAGGCACAAGCAATGCAGTTGTGTCATCAATTCACTCAGCGAAACCGAGTTGATACAATGGTTGTCAGTTGCTGCTGACAAATCACCTGTGGAGCACGAAGAGCTCAGCCGAGAAGTTAGGCAGAGCCTAGGCATGCGAATTCGTAAGAAGTAAGAAGGCAAGGCCCGGCTGGATGTTAGGTGTCCTTGTGTCCTTCAGGGACACGAGCCGCAATGCAATCAGTCTGTTGCAAAGCAGGAGTAAGAGGGTGCAAGCAGTTGAATGTGTATCACTGTATCACAGTATCGGCGTATCGGGGGTCCAAATTTAAGCGGAGTTGAAGGTTTAGGGCTGGAGTTTCAGATTTAGGGTGCTAAAGGGGCGGTGCGGAGGGCCAAGGATTCAGGGTTGTGTTGTGCTGAAGGGGGAGTGGGGAGTAAATATAGGCTATAGGCTATAAGCAGTATAGGTAAGTCTTCTTCTTAGGGTTATGCGGGATTGCTTTCGGGATCGGCCAGGAGATGCAGGAGTTCAGCAAAATACGCCCGTAGAAATTTTACTAGAGGACCTTCGAAATCACCGAAAAATCACCTGCTGTCGGCTGATTGATGACCATCCGATCACGCGTTACACTACAGGGATTGGGCCGGTGTAGTTTGCTCCTTGCTGACAGAACGTGAAAGCGTGTGGTCGGACTGTCCGAAGTGCACAAAAGCGCCACTGCGCTGCTTCCATAGTACATAGTGCTGCATAGTCTCTGCACAGTCCATACAAAGTGTCGAGCAGAGATGTTTGAGGTAAATTTCTTCCATGAAAGACTCCCAATGGTTCAGTGTCCCAAATACCTAGGCCGGGGTCTCGCATTCAGCTTCCACTTTGTCTACAGTATACAGTACACGGATACGGTATAGGCATAGGCGGTGTAGGTATAGGCGGCATAGGGTATACGGTATACGTATACGGTATACGGTACACTGGGCAGTATATCCATATTATTAGTAGTGTTTTATTATGTACTGTATACTGTATACTGACTGACTACTTGCTGAGTACATCTAGAGCCCCTTCTCAGTTTGTCAATGAATCAATATAGCGAAAATTGATTGCTGTAGGAGTTGTCGGGCCATAGCGTCCTAAAACCCAGGAGGCGTGTGCCGTCGCATGCCGAAAGTGCGAACGATAAGATTGAAATAAAGAGTAGAAGCCGCGCAGTGCTGCGCAGTCCCCCAGTGGCCGCGGAACGCTAGATGTTTCCGAGAAGCCGCAAGCAGTGCGCTCGTGGCAGTGCATGTGATAAGTGATATGTAGCTCATACTACGTACTACTCGTGCCAAAGCCGCTTCTGGTTCTTGTCATTACATAAATTACACACGGGCAGGGGTATAAGGTTCAGTTTGAGTTAGGAGCATCTTACCTATTTTTTTGGAAGTATTTATCATCATTGATCATGAACCAGTAATTATTGTTATGTCTTCGGTCTATGTCTTGGAATTATGGGTATCGGTATTGACGGCATTGATGCTGTTATTCTTCTTATGCTAGTTCTTGTCTTGTACAACGTTATACGTTGTTATTCTTGTTGCAGGTATTCATCTGGTTATGAGTTATTGGTAGGTTCGTGCTGTACACTTACAGTCGTGAACCATGACCTGCGAATGTTGCCTGTGTATGGCGAATTTATTACCAGTCCCCCCACTAGGACTGCAGCAGCCGTGTGTATTCTTTATACTGTATTCTGTTACACTAACGACATGGCGATATTCTGATAATGATATTGGGTTCCATTACTTCAAGTGCTGCTGCTGGAATACTGCCCTTCCGGCCCTTATTCTCCAAGACTCTAAACTGCAGACCTATCCAATTATCCATGCTGCGTGCCTGCGAAGCGGTTAGCAGACCTAATCGCAAAGGCCTGCTTCAGTGTTGCCGTGCAGCCGATGCTCAAGGGATACACATCACCGAACAGTGTGAGCCAAGAAAGATACTGAAAAGAAGTGCGGTGAGCGAAATCATTGCAATCATGCAGGACAGTGGAGGATCGAGTTCCCAAATTGCGTAAATGGGCGCAAGATTTTAGGGAATTCTGCCTAGCAAGCGTTGTGTTTATTCTGCCAGGCGTTCGGCGAACTGGTTGGCACTAGGGCAATCAAATCATGTGCCTGACGGAATTCCTGGCTACTTTCTGCCAAGTTCTTGTGGAACCAAGCGAGCAGGTGTTTGAATTTGCCGAGGGATGTTGGTCTCCACTCCCAACTTAGTTGATCATAGAAGTTTGTTTAAAAAAAAATGTGGCGCCCGACAGCCGACCCGACCCAGGCCCAAGAATCCTGAAGACACAAACACCCCACAAATATCGACCGCCGGCGGTCCTCTTCAGAAGAAGATTCCGGCTGGCCCCCGCCAGGACAACCCAAGCGAGACAAGACCTGAGATCACGAACGCCCAGGATAATTTGTATCATTTGTATCGTGCCCAACACCTAACTCCTAACCCAGATCTCAGCTAACTGGTGTTTGTCCCGACACATATCATATAACAAAACATAACATAAATGCTTACTGTCCAGCCAAAACCAACTTGTTACTCTCCCCCAATAACAATAACTGGTTACTCTCCCCAGATAACTGGTTACTCTCCAGGCAAGTCTCGGGAAAAACTACAGCTGGCTAACTGTAGTTTTGGGGGAGGCTAACTGTAGTTTTTGGGGGGCCGCTCCCCAAAAAATACAGTTAGCTAACTGTAGTTTTTGGGGAGGCTAACTGTGGTTTTTGGGTCGGTTAACTGTAGTTTTTGGGGTGGCTAACTGTAGTTTTGGGGGAGCCGCCCGCCAAAAACTACAGTTAGCTAGCTGTAGTTTTTGGGGCGGTTAACTGTAGTTTTTGGGGTGGCTAACTGTAGTTTT